TCAGAAAGGAGGGCGTGATGGCTTAGCACCCAGTGGATCTTACGTGAAAACGTGTTTTGCCTCCATGTGGCAGTGAAGGCCTGGAGACGCCCCATTCTGAAGATCTGCTTTTCCCCAGGTGTTGAACCGCCTTACTTTTGCATCGACCCTTTCTCATCTGCGTCGTCTAAACTCTCCCATCGGTAGAGACGGCAAGCTGGCCAAGCCGAGGCAGCTGCACAACACGCTGTGGGGAATGGTGTGTCCCGCCGAGACCCCAGAGGTGAGGCGCCAGGTCCATGCTCCATGGGGAGAGGCTGCGGTGAGGACGTGGGGCACAGTTACCTTAAGATGCGGTTTTTACTTAATTGTGCATGGCGGGCTAGAAGTAAGGTGTTACTTAGAGTTTTGTTCTCAGAGAACAAGTAAATCTTGAAATCAGACTGAAGGAAGGATGCTGACGGGAAATGTGTGAGCATTAACATGAGTGTAACCACTTGGCTCATCCCCTAGGGGCATGCGGTCGGACTGGTGAAGAATTTAGCCCTGATGGCTTACATTTCCGTTGGATCTCAGCCATCTCCAATTCTGGAATTTTTAGAAGAGTGGAGTATGGAAAATTTAGAAGAAATTTCTCCTGCAGCTATTGCTGAGTATGTATGGATGGAATTTTCTTTTTAATATTTAGTTACAACTTAGTGTGGAATTGCTAAGTGCAGGATGTTTTGGTTTTTTATTCTAGTGCAACCAAGATTTTTGTTAACGGCTGCTGGGTTGGAATACATAAAGATCCCGAACAACTCATGAACACTCTGAGGAAACTGAGGCGGCAGATGGACATCATTGTGTCTGAAGTAAGAGCCTGTGTTTGTTTTTCTTCTTTGTGGTGCAGGGGATCCGTTGCCAGCCTTACTCCTACTAAAGCACTCTACCACTGAGCTATGTCTCCAGACCAGTAAGAATCTTTAACTGTTAAGGAAGGCATGGTTTGGGCTGAGTGCGGTGGCACACGCCTGTAATCCCAGCACTTGGGAGGTGAGGTCGGCAGATCGCCGCGAGTTCGAGGCCAGCCTGGACTACATATTGAGTTCAAGGCCAGCCTGCACTACATAGCAAGACCCTGTCTCAAGCCCCACCCCCCCATATGAGCTTTATTACTCCTTACAATAGGACTTTTACTGTACTGTTTGGAGGATGTGACTCTGACTCTGGCTATATGTATATATATGTGTGTATGTATATATATATTTTTTTTTTTTGGCTTTTTTTTTTACAGTACTGAGGGCTTCACACTTGCTGGGAAATTGCTCTACTGCAGAGCGATAACCTCAAGACTTTTTTCTTTTAGCATTTTTGAGAGTGTCTTGCTATAATTCCAAGGCTGGCCTTGAATTTGGGATCTTCTTGCCTCAGCCTCAGGGTTGCTGGGATTACAGTTATTTGCAACCATACCTGGCTGAAAGCAGTATCTTTTCTTGAATTTTTTTGTTTTGTTTTTGTTTTGTTTTGTTTTGTTTTGGTCTTTTTGAGAAAGGGTCTCACTATGCACTTCAGGCTGGCCTTAAGCTCACTTTGTAGCCCAGACTGGTCTTGAACTTTCAGCTATCTTCCTGCCTCAGCCTCCTGTGTGAGTGATTTCACTTTTTAAAAACCCCCGTGTAGGGTAATGTAGTGGATTGATAACTGGTGGTCAACTTATAACCCCCAGCTGAACTGAGTGAGTGGTGCTGGGTGTGGGAGGCCCACCTGGGGACTGTTG